GGCGTGGTTTTTTGGGGGGGGGGGGTTGAAATGTGCAGATTCTCCCTCACAGAGGAGGTGTAGTGTGCAGCTGCCTAAAAACTTGGTCTCAAAGGTACGACGGGAGTGTTCACCTGCTCCCCCAAAGGCCTGAGTAGCCGGCCGGGGGAGGGGGAGTGCCAAAAACGGGTCTTGGTCAGTCGGCTTAGCGCCGCCCTCTCTGCCGCCGGCCTTCAACTGCTCCCCCCGTTGGGCCGCTAAGTGGGTGGTGGTGGGGAAATGGCACATACGGGCCTGTGGCGGCTGGTGCAGCACCACCGTCGCCACCCTTCAACTGCTCCCCCAAAGGGCTGCGAAGCTGGGGGGGAGCGGCGAAAACGGGCCTGCAGCGGCCTGTGCAGCGCCACCGTTGCCGCCCTTCAACTGCTCCCCTGAAGGGCTGCAAAGCTGGGGGGAGCGGCAAAAATGGGCGTGCAACGGCCAGTGCAGCGCCACCGTCGCCGCCCTTCAACTGCTCCCCCAAAGGGCTGCGAAGCTGTGGGGAGAGTAGCGAAAACGGGCCGGTGCAGCGCCACCGTCGCCACCCTTCAACTGCTCCCCTGAAGGCTCCACTCGCCCTGTCAGCAATAGTCTGCGGCGTCCGTGTTCTGGGGTGGAACTTAGGCGACGCAGCCAATGGATAGGGGAAGCTGGGGAAGGTTTTGAGCGACAGTTCGTGTGGCCAAACACTGTTGGTGCGCATCGAACGTTGGAGGTGACTACGGCTTTATATATAAGGGACAGATATATATATAATTACTAATTATATAATAGTCGTCTCCTGTCCAGGCTAAACATACCCAGCTCCTTCAGCCTTTCCTCATAGGACTTGGTCTCCAGACCACTCACCATCTTTATAGTTCTCCTCTGGACATGTTCTAGCCTGTCTGTACCCTTCCTAAATTGTGGTGCCCCAAACTGAACAGAATACTCTAGGTGTGGTCTAACCAGCGCAGAGTAAAGCGATACCATCACTTCACGTGATCTGGACACTATACTTCTGTTAATACAGCTGAAAATGGCATTTGCCTTTTTAGCTACTGCATCACACTGCCGACTCATGTTTCGTGTATGGTCTTCATTTTGGAGGGAGGGGAAGGCAAATAAGTTTATTGGTAGTGAACACAATAATATATTCTAATAGTCAAGCATGTCCCCATCTGCAGATACTTATATCTGCAGACTGGGGCCACACTGACAGAAAGGATCCCCCCGGTTTGCAGAAAAATCTTACTTAAACCTTCCAAAAAAATGTGTGTCTGGGACTCATGCTGCAGAGGGGGAGGGGAAGAGAACAGGGAGCCTCTTCCTCCCCGTGCCAAGGAGAGAAGCAGCAGCAGCCGCCTCATTCTCAGCCCTCTGAGGGGAGAGTCGAGGAGGACCATTCAGGCAATGATGCCACTGGAGGTGAGCGGCTTGGTGAGAAGAATCCTCCTTACCCAGCTGCCTACCTGCGGAGCCATCACCTCAGTCTTCGTGCTCAGCCGCCGAGGGGAGATTTGAGGAGGGAGGTTTAGGCAACGGCACTGAAGGCAGCCAGGTGCGTGGCCAGTAGCCTCCTCACCTGAGCTGCCCTTCCTGATTCCCCACTCGCTGCTGACTCCCAAGATGGGGGCGACAGCGCCTCAGGCAAGTGGCTAGGGCGAGAAGGATTCTTCTTACCCCGCCCACTCGCCACTCAGCAGCTGAGGGAAGAGTCGAGGAGGGCAGCTCAGGTGACAATCCACAGTATTTTGTTGTGGGTCCCCCCTAGTAAAACAGGGTACCCCCCTCCGTCTTTCTTTCCCTTTCCTACAGTCTAAAGGTCCAAGCATATGAAACTCCACAGTATTTTGTTGTGGGTCCCCACTAGTAAGACAGGGTACCCCCCCTCCGTCTTTCTTTCCCTTTCCTACAGTCTAAGGGTCCAAGCATATGAAACTCCACAGTATATTGTTGTGGGTCCCCACTAGTAAAACAGGGTACCCCCCTCCGTCTTTCTTCCCCTTTCCTACAGTCTAAGGGTCCAAGCATATGAAACTCCACAGTATTTTGTTGTGGGTCCCCACTAGTAAAACAGGGTACCCCCCCCTCCGTCTTTCTTTCCCTTTCCTACAGTCTAAGGGTCCAAGCATATGAAACTCCACAGTATTTTGTTGTG